TTGATAAGATAAATAATTGTGTTTAAATTAGAAAGACAAATTAGGCTTGAAACAATTTTAGATAAATATTTATATGTATATAATGATTATTATTAGTTGAAATTCCGACTTCCGAATTTTTTCCCTTCAGATTTCTGACAGTTCCAATTTCTGGCACCTCCGTCATTTTTGATTCTTTGTTGCTTAGTTCTAGTCTAGGCTATTTTTGTCTGAAATGCTTATAAATATTTTTTCAGAAAATTTTTCTTGCCTTACATTCAAGAACAATAAAAAGTTTACTCTGGTCACATAACTGGGAGGTATTTCCCCTCTCCTTTTTTTGCCCAACGTCCACTTTCCCGCATTACTCCTCCTCTAACCTCTCAAACAATAAGTTTTTATTGTTTTTTATTGTTTTATTGTTTTATTTGTTGCCACTGTCAATGAGGCATATTTTTAGAATGACAGGTTAGTAAGTAGTTAGTGGCGCGTGCATATTTTTATTGTTGTCCAGTTTTGAGCTGTGGAAAATAACATGAATTTTTTGACGCATTTAAATAAGGACACGGACTTAAAAATTTGTGAATAAGGATCTATGGACTTAAATTTTGCATTGATTCCTAATTTAGTGTTATCCAGTACTTCTAAATTTTTTCAAAGAATTTTTAATTTGATTATAGCTATGTGGAAAGGTAGAATTTTCTAGCCTATGACTCTTGTAATACAAAACCAAAAATTCTAAAATCTTAGAGGACATAGACAAGATTTTTAAAAATGTCTGTGGAAAATTTCATGACCTCGTGCTAGGTTCTAACCGAAAATTTCTTAGTTTATGCCTAGACATTTCCACGCCCAAATGTTTTTTCCCTCTCCCAACTTTTCCCTAAACTTATTTTGTAATCTTTTTATTTTTTATTGTTTTATTTATGCCTCACTTATTAAATAACCACAATCATTGTTTCCAAACAATAACTTTATTCTTCTTAAAATTGACAAAACAAATTGCTGGATCTAGGGAATGGCTACTTTTTTTTTAATTTTTATTGTTGGAAGAGAGAGAAGAGTGACCATTTTCATTTCAATTTTTTAGTTGTTTTTATAAAATGGCATTGAATTTCACTCATTTTCTAGTTTTTTATTTGTCATTTTTAGACTAGCAATTTTAATAAAAAACATTTTTATTACAAAATAAATTCATTAATTTTATTTTAAGTTGGACTTTGGAGATTAATCTAAAATCATTACATACATAAAGTCAATCTAGTTTTTACTAAATAAATATGAAAAATTTTAAACAATTGAAAGTTCTTATCAAATCACGTACTAGATGATAGTTCAAGAATATTTTAGTCTTTTTTGGCGTTTGTGTTATTTTAAAAATTGTTAAATGGGATCAGCTGGTCGAACCTCAGCTGGCCAAACTTGTGTTATCCCTTACACCACACTTCCTCCTGCATAGATTTAGAAAGTAAATAGCTATATATCCTTTACAATCCTCAGCACCAATTCTCTAATTATCACATACTAACTTAACTAACACGTTTTTATTTGTTTTTTTTGAAACAAAAATAAATAGAGGGTTCTCCCAACAACAAAAATAAATAATTTATTTTTAAAAACAATTTCTTTTTTTCTTTTGTCTGTCCATTTCATGCTCCGTCCACCCCCTAGTAAAAGCCACAAGGACTGGAAAGGCTTGTTTGTTTGGTAGCCGCTAGCTATATTTATTTTTATATATTAGGCCCCATTCACGGACCACCCCCTCCTTTATTTTCCCCCCTATATTTCCTTTTCTCATTTTCTCCACTTCTTTCCTCCAGGGGACTTAAATGGGAATTTCCTTCCCTCAAGGGCAGTATGTTTGTGCGCGTTTCTTTTTTTGCTTTTGTCCATTTTCATGATATTTTGCTTCAAAACAAAAATTATTTTTAGACAATAGAAAACAATGAGATTAAAGACTTTTTTTTGTTAAAAATAAAAAATGTGTAGTCTCGAGTCAACGAATCTCGGCGAGAATTATGTAAAATAATCTCTCAATTACTTTAGTCTAAAAAGTTGGGATCTTTTTTTTTATCAATAGGAAACATTCCAACCAATTTATATTTCGATTATTTTGTATATTTTTTCATATACATATCCCATACATTCTGATATATCCAATATATCGACAGGATCATGGGGAAAGTGCTAGGTCAAACAGATACAATCATTATCTTTATCCTCTTTTATTCCGAATTCTCCCTTTCCAAATCTGATCAAAAATACTTTGGATAAATTAAAGTTTATTCCAAATCAAATTATCAAAAATATTTTTTCCATTTAAAAATCAAAAACCATCAACATTTTTCAAATAAAATAAATTTAATTTGTTGCTTTAAATTTTTTATTTAATGATTCACAATATTTAATTTTTAAATGAATAATTCCCCCTTTCTAGCTTTTCACAAAACCTTTTTATTTCTCTCTTTTTATTAAAAAAATTTTATAAAAATATTTTTCTTTATCTAAATTGCGATCATTAGCATAAATAAAAACAATTTTTGCTTCTAAAATTATTTTTTTCTCTCTAAAGGTGACTGACTAAAAAATAAATAAAAATATGTAGCTAATCAAAAATAGCGGCCAAATGATTATTTGTAGTTAGAGGGGGGGGGGGGTTGAAAATGAATATTTTTTGAATGAAAGGGCAATCAACACAAAAATATTTAAAAATTGTAACAAAACATCCTCCACCTACACAAAAATTTTTTTGATTCTTTCTGCACGGTTTGCTGGGAAAATGGTAGAGGAGTGTCATTTTGTAAAGAAAAGGATATTACTCTCTCCGCCATTTTTAAAATTACAAAAAAAATACAGGAAAAGCCGGAACAAAAGTCAACAACATTTTTTTGCTATATTATATATGTACATATTTGTTGATTGCTCTTTAAACTAAAACACTTTTTTAATTTTCTCTTTTGACCAACATTTAATAATGATCAACTAAAAACGGAGAATAGTGAAGCTAAGACGCTAAATTTTATTTTTTTCTCACTAAAGAAATTAAATATATAATTATTATTTATTTTATTTTTTTGCCAAATTCACTTCCTCATTGCCTTTTAAAAATTATTTTTTTAAATTTTTTCTACAAACCTCTACAAAGTTTAAGTATTCTCTTTTGTTTTATTTTTTTGTTTAAAATACTCATTGTTTTAATTATTTAACAACAACTAGTTTATATATTTTTGTTCCTCTATTTACCTCATTTTACACTCAACAAGTATTTTTAAAAAGAGAAAACAGTTCAACACTTTAATAATTTTCAAGTGTTCCTGTTTGGCCAATTATTATTTAAAAAACAATAAAAAAATTTTTTTGGCATTCTGTTTATTTATTTACTTTTCATTTTCCCTTTAAATTTTTCTTGTCCCTTTTTTTACTTCCTTTTAACCGCTTCTGTCCATTCTTCTTTTTCCATCACTTCACTGGTCGGAAGGATTGTTGCACAAACAATCACCCCAAAAATCTTCATCTCAACAACTTTCAACGCTTAGGCATGCGACTAAAGATGATGAAGAAAAAAATGTTTTTTGGGGACCGCCACTGATGTGTATCGGCCTAGAAAAATGGTCAAAAACGGCGCGCGGGGGGAAGCCAAGTGCTTTTTTATGAGGGAATGACCGAATGAGGGGATTGTGGAAGGGAAAGGGAACTGAACAGGGCAGATGCTCTGTCCCTACAGGGGCGTGTATTTTTAAGTATGGACTTGGACTATAAAGAAGGCGGGGTTGAAAGGGAAGGGTAAAAAAAGATATTTAGATGTGGATATATATTTATTTTAGAATATAAGGAATGGTGGGCGAGGTGGGAGGTTACTAAACTGATTTATCTTGTTTGTTTAGGAAAAAGGGAAACCCCATCGTTTTTCTAATCATTATTCCCTTTTTAAACAATTACAGTAATTTATCTTGTTTTTATTAATTTCTCTTAATTCCAATATTAGTGGATTGTGGAATTTTGATCACTTTAGAATCGAAAATAAAATTATAAAATTTAGAATTTTTCTCTCATTTTGTTCTTTTAATTTTAAATTCTTAAAATTTAATTTTAAAGCAAATCCTGATAATAACTAGAAGAATTTCTTTTGTTTAATTTCCCATTTAATCATTAACATATTTAATTTAATATTCAAGCTTGACTTCCCTAAAAGCATCAATCAAATCAATATACAAATAAATTACCAACTAAATTCCTCTATCATTTTACCCACTTTTCCCCCCGACGTCCTTCTCCGCAATCTTTTTGCTAAAAACAATTTTACTCGCAGTTTAGTTACTCTACTAGTTGACAGCTTCCTTTTAACATAACAAACACTTTATATACATTTATTTCTTTTATAATGCAAAAATATTTTATAAATAATTCATTGAATAATATATTGCTAATTAATTCTTTTTTTTACAATATTTGTTTTTTGGATTGGAAAATTAGTTAATAAATAATAAGGGGAATTTTATATGGTATTTTGAATAAGAGAAATTCTTAGAAATCTACAGAATTTGTAATTTAGATTTTTTATATTATTGTAGGAAAGTGATTAGACTGAGACGAGATATCGTTCAAAAACAGGGTTATTAACTAGTTGATCTCAATCTTGATAAATCCTTCAATCCTCCAATCAAGTTCACTAGCTATTCTTCCACATCATTCATTTTTAAATTATTTTATCTACATATTTTAAATTTATAATTAAAAATATCAATTCATTCACACTTTTCCAATCTCTTTCCAGCCTTTTGGCCTTGCACTATTTTCTCTCACTTCCTTTCCTTCAGTTGGGGTTTTTCAATTTTTTTCATAAATAACACCCTTATCATTGAAAATTAAATTTTATTATAATTAAATTTCAATTCTAATATATTTTAGTTTTATTTTTTAAATTAATTCTTTCGTTTAAAATTTTATTTTGAAATAAACTAAGAATATTTGTAAATTTTAATTAATTAAATTTATTTTTTAGTTTTTAATTTTTGTGTAAATTATGTTTTGCTTTAATCCTTTACATTATACTTTACAATTTATTCTCAGCATTTTATTAGCCTATTTGCCAGAAATTTTAACTTCAACGACTTATTTAGATTCAGGTATGGGATTTTTTGAAAAATAAAAAAAATTTTTTTTTAATAATTCTTACCCCCAATTATTAATTTTTAAACTAATTTGTGATCAAAAATCATAATTTTATATTAACAAAAAATATATAATTAATTAATTAATTTTTGTCTTTATTTTTCTAATTGCCTATATTTTTTTATTATTTTTTTTTCTAATTTTCTTTTAAAAATATTTTTTTATAATTTTGCACCCATTCAAGAGCCACAGTCTCGAAAATAAATTCTTATTTTTTAATTTAAAAAGAAAAATATAAAAGTTGATTAATTGAAAATGGGACAAAATGTCTCATTATGAAAAATAGAAAAAGTGGGTCTTCTTTTTTTAATTTTAAGGCTTTTTAGTTTTTATAAGGAGAAGTTGGTATTTATTGTTGTTAATAGTAAAAAATATTTTTTAGAAAAAAATATTGAAGTAGAGATGGACTATTAAGGGTTTTATACTTTTTTGAGTTTAGATGGGGAGTCTGGAAATTATTTAAATAAGAATTCTCAAATATAAAATCGAAAATTATTATTTTTTCTACTTTCGATTTGTGGGTGCACTGTTTTGGTAAAAGAATCAAACCCCTAAAAATTAGAAAAAATGTACACGAATAGAGAAGAAACAAGAACACAGGGTGAGGGCAAATGTAATAAAATATATTTTTAGGAAAAAATATTTTTAGGATTAAATATTATCTATATAGCAAAATATTTTCAAGTTAAATATCAATAAAATATTTTTGAACAGAATTTAGGTCAAAATATCGCGCGAATAAAAATGGATAAATAATTATTTAAAGTAAATCAAAAAAGTATTTATTAATGATTTATGACATTAAAAATAATAATTATTTATTTATGTGGCCATTAAAAGAAAAAATAAGATGGATTATTATTAAGGAATATTAATTATTATTTAATGATTAAATCTATAAATCTTTAATATAAATACATTAATTTTTATAGATTTAATTTTTCGAGTTACATATTGCTATTACCTTATATTTTTCTTCAATCAAAATAAATACTAATTTTTATTTTATTTTTTCAATTCAGAAATTAAATACTCAACTTAATTTATTTTCTCGTTTTTTAAAAACATTCCCTAAAAGCAACCTGTAACTTAATATAGGTATATTGGAGATCGAAACCTTGAGATGGCCTAGATTTATTAAGATTTAGTCCAAAACTTAATATATTTTTTCTCATTTTACTCGTTAATTAAAATTTATCTAATTAAAATAATGATTCTTTAGTTTTTTACTAACCTTCTGTTAATTTACTGTATTTATTTTATTTAAATATTATATTAACCACTTTGCTTTAAAGTCAGTCAAAAACACATTTTTTGTAATAATATTTATTTATTTATCTCCAATTTAGTATTTTTAAACTAGGCACACCTGCCCCTTTTTACCTAAAAACTTCCCTTTAAAGTCTGTTGGCTACTCAAGTGGCTCAATGACAGTTAAGTAAAAGTAGAAAAATATTATTATTTAGGAGATTATCCCAAAAGCATACAAAGGAGGGCCTTTGTTGGTTACTTACTTACTTGCTTTTTCTCTTTAAATAAATACAAGTCTGAGATATTAAATTTAGAGAATTAAGGGTTGTAATATTTTAAAGGGCTTTAATTTGTTTTGAAAATTTAATAAAAAAATTGTCAAAAAAGAGGGTTATCGTATTTTAGTTTAAATAGTCTGGTTAAAATATTTAAAATATTTTTTTAAATACTTAGTTTAAATATTCTTAATTTTGTATAGAACTACATATTCCAAATTGTTAATTAAATTTTATATAAATTTCGAATTTTTGATTTTTTATTTCGGAATTTATAAAGGAAAAATTAGTAAAAATTGTTATTTTCTCCAAGTTTTGACATATTTACCTGAAATAAAATTTAAATTAACATTTAAATTTCTAAATTCTCTAGATAAGATTATTTTGGATATAAAAAATTCTTAGTTTCAGAATTCTTTTATTCATTTAGGTTTCTTTCCGTCATCTGAACGTCAATCTTTGCCGTAGGTGTATCTTCTCTCTTTTTAATTCTTTCAAAAAATAATTGTTAGTTTTGTAAATTTCTTCTTTTTATTTTTTTGTCCTCATGATTTTCGGCAATTTTTTATTCTTTTTTTATATCCTTTTAATCAAAAATTCTTCCGCATCTAAAAGAATTTTTTTGTATTCATCCAAGCATATATACAACAACCAAAAAATGTTGTGTTTCTTTAAAGATTAGAAAAAAGCTAGAGAAGAAGTGACAATTCCTGCTGTGAAACAAAAATTGTATTGAAAATAATTAAAGAAGTTTTGGATAAAAAAAATTTTTTTTAAAGAAAAAAATTATTTTTAATTGACCAATTTTGTAAGACAAACTTTTTTTGTTTGTTCTTTAATTTAGGGGAGGAAATTGTTAAAAATAATAATAATTTAAATATTTTTGTTTTTCTTTGAACGAGAAATTTAATATATTTTCTAGTAAATACTTATTTAAAGATGAGTACTTTCTTAAAAGTTTTTGTTGTCGGCAAAGTTTTTAGTAAAGAGTTAAAATATGTTGGTAAATAATGAAAAGTTTTGAGAAAAGATAATTTGGCGCATTTAAAAGTTAAAGATTTTTTGTTTATTTTCAATAATTAAAATTATTAAAAATTTATTTTAATTATTTATTTTTTATTTTCCACATTTTTAAAACAAATAATTGTTTATTTTAAAAATTATTAAATAAATTATTAAATAATATTTAAATATATCTAACCACAATCTATTAAAAAATAATTTGTTTATTCCGAGTAAATAAAACAGAGTTAGAGGCTTTGTTTGAGAACATTCTCTTCTTTTTTCCTTCAATGCAAGAAATAATTAAAAATTAAAAATATTGTTGTTTTGAATAATAAAAAATATTTTTGATAAAAATAAAATGAAATGAAATGAAAATTAAATAAAGTGAAAATTCAACAAACTTTTTTATACATAATTTAGGACATATTTAATTACATAATATTAGTACAAAATATTTCGTTTATTTTATAGTAATATATTTTGCCTTGATTTGGCTGGGGTCTCTTATAGAGGGATTTTTTAATCTTCTAGTGTTCCACTAAATAAAATTTCTTTACTATATTTATTATTAAAAATATATTTATTTATTTATTTTTTTCAGTTAAATTAATTGCCTGCGATGGAGAATTAGCATCCCTTCATTGCCCCCCTTACCATCAAATAGTCATCGAATCAGCCAATTTTGGCCGTTTTGCTTTAAAAGAATGTAATCCAACAAGAAGGCCCGATTTTAATATTTTTTGCAATAATCCAGAAGCTATAGATGTGCTAAGGGCTAGGTGGGTTTTTAATTTTTTTTGAAAAAATTGGGATGAAATGTCTTAAATAAATAAATTCTATATTTTCACTATTTTCTTCATTTATTCCATTAATCTATAATTACTTGTTTTGCCAAATTTGCCACCTTTTCTTTTCAAATCTCTCCACCTGACCACTAATTGAAGGTACTAAACTATATTAACTATTAACTAGAGTTGGCCGGGATCGGGATCCCGGTCGGGATCGGGCGGGATTATCCCGGGTTTTTCAAATCCCGATCCCGATTTTTCTGATCCCGGTCCCGAAATATATATCCCGATCCCGATCCCGGCCATTTTTAATCCCGAGCCGGGATCCGGGATCGGGATCGGGATGTGCATCAGATCCCGATGCAAATCCCGATTTTATAAATTGACTAGAAGTTTGTGGAAATAAAGTTAGCAGAAGAGAGGAGGCATGAAATTAAGAAAAATTTTCGCCTGCGGCGCAGAAAATGGAAGAAATTTGGCATCCTGACATCCAAAATTCTCAAAATTTTCGCCTGCGGCGCAGAAAAGGAGCAAATTTAAGCAAAGCTGTCTTTAAAACTTTGACAAAATATTGAGTGATTTGGTGTGATATCGAGCGATCAAGAGGGGTTGAGGGGAGTATAGGTGGATTTGGAGTATAGAAGGATATCGTGGATTTGCAGTAATTAAGTTAGATTTGAAGAGAATCGAGGGTTTACGAGGGACATGAATATATCACTTAATCCCTCAATCTCAGTTCTTAATCATCCACATTTGAACGTAACGCACTTAAATGTATAGACTTGAACGTTTAGACTTAAATGCCCTTGGCCTTCCAAAATTAAAAATTATTGCCTGCGGCGCTTAAAAGGGAGGAAATCTGGCACCTTGGCCTTCAAAATTTTTCAAAATTTGGAAGGCCAAGGTGCCAAACTTTTCAAAAATCAAAAGCCCAATCCCATTTATCCTCCCCCCCCCCCCCATTACCTTATCCCCCCTTAATACCCTGAACCGGAAAGTAAATCATGCGTCTATGAGACTTTAACATAAAAATTTATAAGTTTTTAAAATTTTTTTTAGTAAATCCCGATCCCGAGTTTTTAGTCCCGGTCCCGATTCGGGATCGGGATCGGGACCGGGATCGGGATCTCCAGTCCAAATCCCGATCCCGATTTCGGCCAATCCCGATCCCGTGTCGGGATCCGGGATCGGGATCACCATTCCTAAATCCCGATCCCGGGTTTTTCTCGAAATCCCGATACCGGCCAACTCTACTATTAACTAATTGTTAGAAGGAAATGAATGACCCTTACTCTCGAGGAGGAAGTTTGGGCGCAGAGATGTTAAGGAGCGGGATTAAATAAAATATCTAAATTACAATTAAAATTTTTGAAAATTTATAAAAATAGTCTACAAAATATTATTTAATAAAGAAAATTCCGAATTTTTGGGTATATTTCTGAGAATCCAAAATTTAATTTTTAATATTCTCCCAGGAATTTTTTAAGCTCGTAAAACGTATCCTAACCCTCTCTGCGCCTAAAAAGACCCCTTCCTTTTTTCTCCGGAAAAGGGTCATTTTCTCGTTGAGAGGATAAGTAAATGAACAGATTTGGCAGTCAATCCATGCGTGCAATCTTCTCTTTCCTCTCTCCCCTTTCTTATTTTTAATCCACAAACCCATTATTTATATTTAAAAAAAAAGGAAAAATTTTTTGGAAAGAAAAATTGTAAAAATAAAATAAATTTATTTTTACTATTTTTTTTGTAAAAAAGAAAATTAAATAAACAAAATAAATATTAAATTATATTTATTGTTAATAAAAAGGAAATAAGCTAAAATTGTTGAGATATTTTGCAAGACAATTTGATTTTTATTTTATTGAGAAGTTTGGAAAATTAAATTATTTTTATAGAATATATTACTGTAAAGAGTAGCTAGGAAAATTAAAAAATAATTTTGGAAGAGAATACTTATTGTTAGATTTACTTGAAATAGACAGAGTGATTGATCGAGTTTTTCGAGTTATCTTGTCAGTATATAACAGGGATGTGCCGAAACAGGTGTTAAAAAGTGAAACGAGTGAAACGCTAAAGTAAATTTAAAAAAGCGATACACGAAACCGAAAATCCAAAAAGGCGAAAATCCGCGAAATACGAAAAGCGAAACTGGCACACCCCTAGTATATAATTCGATCGGTTTCCCTAATATTTAATCTAACAAAAATTAGGTATCTAATAAGGTACTGATTTATTATTTATTGCCAGGTCAATAAAACCATGATAAACTCTGAATCCTAAATCCTTGACTTTTGTATGAATACAATTCCTAAACCATCTAAATTTTTTATTATCATAAAATAAATTCATTTTTTTAATTCAAATTTTTATTGTTAATTAACTTCCCCACTTTTTTTATTCCATTATAGTAATTTATTTAAAATATATTTTGCCATTTTTTACCCAATGAATTCGAAATCTCATACTAATATATTTTTGTATTTTAATGTTTTTAACTTTTTATTTTTGTTTGGGCCAGGAAGTGTGTTTTTGTAAATGTTTGTGTGTGTCGGTGAATATATTTTTAAGTAAAAAGAGAAAATACATACACACTAATGGACATTAGTTTTGTTAAAAATTTTGCGGCATGAAAAAGAGAAAGAATTTTGAAAAAGCTTCTTTTCTGACCAAGCTGACACATTTTGGAGAACGGCAAACTAATTAGAAGGTTCAGAGGGATATATTTATGTACACAATCCCTCTTTTTGGAAGGAAAAGCTTTTTAGAGGTCACTTGTATTTTAAAAATATAATGGTTGGTGAAGAGAGATAAAGCCAATCCAATTAATGGATTTACAAAGAGTTTTTAGTAATTTTAAGAGAAAATAAAATTTAGAATGTTGAAATTTTATTTGTAATCAGAAATTTTAGAAGGGGATCTTTAAATAATCATATTTTCTATATTTAGTTTATTTATTTATCTAATAAATAAGATAAATTTTTTATTCCCAAAAAAGTTTTTCCCATATAATATTTTGATTAGATTAAATATGTATTCATTAATTTATAAAAGATGTGAGCGAAAAATAATTAAATTTTGTTTTTAATCCATTGTTCATAAAAAGAATTAAAAAGAGTGTTATTGTTTTGTTACATTTCCTTAAGTATTAAAATTTTTTAAATTGTCAGTCAGAAAAATAAGTAATGATTTTCTTACGAAGGATCTATTTCATGTTTTTCTAAATAAATTTAAATAAATAAATAGATGTGAACACCGTCAACGTTGTGTTGTCCCCGTAAATTGGGCAATATTTCAATTAAATCGAATTAATAATAATGAAAGTTTTGATCAATGTCCAGGCACTCCAAAATATTTGGATGCTGTTTATGGGTGTATTAGAGGTGAAAATAAATATAAAATTAAATATTTATTTGTTTTGATTGTTTTTTGGTGAAAGTTTGTAGCTTTTAGTTTTCCTTATTTAATTCTGCTTTATTTTTTTTTTGTTTTCTTTATTTATTTTCTATTTTATTTTATATTTTTTTGTTTTTATTTAAAAATATGGGAATTTTACAATAATTGCTAATTTTCTTCATAATTCTAAAATTAATTTCAAACAGTTGTGAACATCAAAATAGCTGTAATGTAAAAGCTAATATACAAGTTTTTGGCAATAAATGTCCTCAAGTTAATAAATATTTAGATGTTGTCTATAGGTGTATTGAAAGTATAGTTTTATTTTATTTTAATTTTTTTGTTATTTTTTTGTTAGCTTTTGGGTTTTTATTTTTTTTATTAAAAAATATTTTTTTGTTTTTGTAAATTTTTACAGTAAAATCTCTCTCTTCTTTTTTCTACCATAAATAGTATAGAACTTTTTATTAGGATATCTGAGAGCTGTTATTTAGTTTTAATTATCTGAAAATATCAAAATTAGCAGGGAAATTGAATTAAGATTTTTTAAATGAATTTTCTTTGAATTAATTAAATAAATATTTGTGAGAGATAAGAAGAAGGAGAGATTTTATTTTAATTATTTTTCTTTGTCAAATTAATTTTAAAATAATTAGCAACAACAACAACATCAAGTACTTCAACAACAACAACAAAATTATCAACACCAAAACCTTCTTCATTAAAAATATCTTCAAATAAATTAGAAAAAACTTCAAGTAATTTATCTTTAATAAATGAATATGAAACAACGAAAGAATTATTATTGGATACTTATGAAGTTAAAAATGATGGGGGAGATATTTCTGATAATGGGGTAAAAATTAAAGTTTACTTTGTTAAAGGGTGAATTCAAATAAAAAATACAAATATTCATGTATGTAGTTGCTTAAAAATAAAAAATAATAAAAAGAATTTTGTGGAAGATTTGGAAAGGGTACTTTTTTAAATTAAACTAAATACTGTTAAAAACATACATTAATTAAATAGTTTAGCATAAGGGAACCTTTAAACTTTATAAAATCCTTGGTAAAAAATTGATTTTTCCAATATAAAAAATAATAACCACAAAAACGAGTTAGTATTGATTGAATCGAGATTTGTATTCAACTAACATTCTCTAAAATCTCACCACAATCTAGTTGTTTATACTCATTTATTAATATTTCTGAATTAAACAAAAATTTCTCAAAATTTTTCTTTAAAATTTTAGTCAGTTCTTCTCTATCTCTTTTTGGCAAGCATTTCTGCTGCATCTGTAGTTTTCTCAATATTTATAGCAATATGGGCATATTTAAGAAGGAATAGACGATTAAAAGAAACAAAAAATAAAAAAAAGAAGAAACATAATTTATCAGAAAAAAATTTATTAAATAAACAAGAAGAAGGAAATTATGGAGATTATGCAACTATTCCCTATGAAGAATTACCGAAATTTCAAAAAAATTCCCCCCAAACACTTTCTTATTATTCCCCTTCAAGTAGCGGTTCTTCTTCTACAACAACTACAGCAACAAATAATGGATATCCAATTAGATTGGGGTTTGTTAATGGACAAAATCAAGTTTCTCGTTATTCTTT